ATGCGTCATTTTTCACCCACATCGGGTTTGTTTTATGTAACATTCTTTCCCCCTCTCTCACACTCCGGCCTTGTTTTCGTGTGACGTTTTTCTCACACTCCGGCCTTGTTTTCGTGTGACGTTTTTCTCACACTCCGGCCTTGTTTTCCGTGAGTTCCCCCACCCACACACACAACTTCCTTCCTTCTTCGTTTAATGCGACGTATTTTTCTATAGATCCCCTCTCGTTTTTAGGCGACGTATTTTTTCTCGATACGTCCTCGTTTTTACGCGACGTATTTTTTCTCGATACGTCCTCGTTTTTACGCGACGTATTTTTTCTCGATACGTCCTCGTTTTTACGCGACGTATTTTTTCTCGATACGTCCTCGTTTTTACGCGACGTATTTTTTCTCGATACGTCCTCGTTTTTACGCGACGTATTTTTTCTCGATACGTCCTCGTTTTTACGCGACGTATTTTTTCTCGATACGTCCTCGTTTTTACGCGACGTATTTTTTCTCGATACGTCCTCGTTTTTACGCGACGTATTTTTTCTCGATACGTCCTCGTTTTACGCGACGTATTTTTTTCTCGATACGTCCTCGTTTTACGCGACGTTTTTTTCTCGATACGTCCTCGTTTTTACGCGACGTATTTTTTTCTCGATACGTCCTCGTTTTACGCGACGTATTTTTTCTCGATACGTCCTCGTTTTACGCGACGTATTTTTTTTTCGATACGTCCTCGTTTTACGCGACGTATTTTTTTCTCGATACGTCCTCGTTTTTTACGCGACGTATTTTTTCTCGATACGTCCTCGTTTTTACGCGACGTATTTTTTCTCGATACGTCCTCGTTTTTACGCGACGTAATTTTCCCCACTACCAGCATTTCTGAATGTTTTTTTTCTTCGTCCTCCTTATTTTTTTCTCGAGAATTAAGTGTGGCATTCTTTTTTAGATCAAAGTTTTAGTTGAATTTATTTTTATGTATAACTAATGCCTTTCATAAATTGTTGTGTACAAGATCCCTTTTGTGTTCATTTTTTTTCCTTTCCAACGGCAAATTTGCCATTATTTGCCTTTTCTCAATTTTCATTGCTTTTAATATCCTATTTATCCAAACCCTGTTAATCTTAAATTGACTCAGATAGGACTTACACGATTTTCCAAAATCTATGGAAAATTCAGGAAAATTAATTTTTTATTCTCTTTTTGTTGTTTGCGCTTCTGTCAGCGACAGAATATATTCTAATGATGTGGCAGTTAGGTACGCTAAAATAAATGGAATCCGGAGAAACATGCTTTTTGTTTGGTTATTGTATGAATTCTTAGAATTAATACAAAATTGAAAAAAACATGTAGAATTGTTTAACGTCTGTTTCAGTCAAATGGAAAACATTCATCTTTTCATTTGTACCCACTTAAAATATCGACTAGCAGTAATAATTACGATTCTTATGTCAATATTTTGATAAAATTAAGCTCAACGATGCGATCGAGGAATTTCCCCGGATATTTTATTGTCGTAGAAATCGCCATGAGCTTATTCAATTATTAACGGAAAAATTAAGTCCCATCAGAAATTAAAATTCTTTTCATTTTTTAACACTTTTACAGTCATGTTTGTTTTCTTGGAAGAGAGGTAATTCTTTCAGGAATGGAGATATTGGAAAAAATTCAGGGCACAGATTTATATTTTGATCAGATGAAAGTGTCACCCTTGAGAATTTTTCTTCTAAGTTACTTTCTCTTTTAATAAATGTGGCATTTTTTTTAGATCAAAGTCGTGGTTGAATTTATTTCTATGTATAAATAATGCATTTCATAAATTGTTGTGTAGAAGATCCTTTTTGTGTTCATAGATACATTTTTTAAATTTCTACAAGTTTCTCCAATCTAATGTGGAGAGCAGTCGTGAGAGTTTATTTTATATATACCCGTTTCAGAATTATTATATTGCAATCTGTATAAAGACGAAAGGAAAACTGAACTGGCACATTTCGTCCTCTGATGGACTTTATCAAGAAAAATGTAAGGATTTTCTTTTGCAACGAGTATTTATAAACAAAACTAAAATATTAGTTTTTCCAAATATCTAAATTTAAGAGAGGCTTATGGATATTCATCTGGTTAACTGAAAATCTAGGTAAATTATGGAGGCTGCTAAGTGACATAATTTAATGTCTAATAAACAAAAGTAAATCATATTGATTTTTTTTTAATAATGTATATTATTTTAGTTTGGGATTAATTTATTTGTTATATATTTTAAATAACAAGATTTTATGAATTTCACCATTTTCTTTTAAATGTTTTAAACACTGCTACAATCATTTTTGCTGGCTTGAGATGGAAGTAATTCTTTCAGGCTTGGAGATACTTGAAAAAAAAATCCAGTGCGTAAGTTTATATTTTGATAAAATTCGATTCCGCCACTCTCGAGCAGTTGCCTTCTAAGTAACATTCTCTTTTAATAAGTGTGACATTATTTAGATCAAAGTAGTGATTGAATTTATTTCTCTGTTGTGTGCAAGATCCCTTTTGGGATCATCGGCGTGCAAAACTGTACAGCCAACTACACAAAATGATTATACACTTATTTTATCAAGAAGATTGTTTTAACAGTATGCTTTTATAAAAAATGTCCGCGGACCTTAGGGTTTGGAAAATTGTTGCGTTTTCCTAGCTGCTGTAAAACAATATCTTTTGCAATAATAATAAAAAAAACGCTTTGAATCTATTGGCTTCAACTAATTTCCTACCGCCGTAGTTACCTCCCAGTGCATTTTCTGTAAATACTTTCATGGTAATTGTTCGGATGAGTTTTTCAATATGGTATCTAGACTGTATGAATTTAAACGCAATACTAGATTGGCGGTAAGGTCTCATCAATTTATAGTCGAGTTAGCTAGATGCAACCGTAAGTTCTATGCTAACAGTTTCTTCTATCGTACTTTTCGATTGTGGAACTCTCTTCCGGCTTCTTGCTTTCCAGTCAGTTTTGATCTTCAAAAATTTAAATGCAATTTAATTCTTGTTCTGTTATTGTCGTCTCTTCTGAATAGTAGTTTTTCTCATATTCTCTAACATCCAATAAACCTTTGTAGGCTAGTGGCTTTATTGTCTGTCTTGGGATGAAATGTTTATAGAAAAGAAAATACGCTTTGTCTTTCCCGTCGCTCGAAGGGAATTTTACGCCTCTAATCTTTCGTACAGCGAATAAGAGACATATAACGCAAGATTTTTTTAGCTCAAACTCTGTGTAGATCGAGTTGTTTTTTACATCACTTCAGGTTTTTCGTGTTTCTGTGTGCCGTATCCCTTCAGGACGTGGGTGACTATGGCTTTCCACAATTTCATGTCCTTTGTATGTCTTCATAAATTCTGTCTTTTTGCATATCTTTCCTAATACCTCTTTTTCTAACCATTTACACAAGCTCGTTTGGTACGTTATTCACTACTTTTCTCTTTTCCTGAATACGTCCTGTGAGTGGCAAATTTTCCAAGACCCCCTCCCTTATTACGTGCCCTGGAAGTTTCAACTCTTTCTGATGTTAAGAATAAGTGTCCGTTTTGTTTCCGTTTTCTACAAAACTTCGTCGCACTTCTCCCTTGTGGAACTCCCTTCATGGCTCCATGCTTTCCAGTCAACTTTAATCTTCAAAATTTAAATGCAATGTCTATCGTTATTTTGTTATATCATAGTATAATTGAATATATAATTGAATATATATATATATATATATATATATATATATATATATATATGTGTGTATTAGAGACTTTGACATCTGGACCAAAAAAATTATTCACTACAAAGATGCATTCTTGTTTCGATGCTTTATTTCCATCTTGACTGGTGGAGACTAAAAATAGTTATGGAAATTTCTATTCAAAAACAAACCGCCTATGGTACATCACTTCCAGTCGAGATGCAAATAAAGAATCGAAACAAGAATGCATCTTTTTAGTGGGTAATTGTTTTGTCCACATGTAAAGAATCTATAATAAATAATTATTGCTCTACTCTTGGTATTGGGCACTTTTATGAATTAATGCTGAGAACGTTTGAATTTAAATTATCCTCGTTCCCTATATATTGTCCTCCATTATTAGTAATGTTTCCCTCATGACACTTCTATTGTTCTTCATTCTTTCTGTTGGTAATCAGGGAACATTTCTAAGGAACGAGAACAACACATCTTATATCATGAAATATGTAATCATTCCATAACTTTCATTTAAAAAATATCAATTATATATATCATACTATTTTATATATATATATATATATATATATATTGGTATAATTACTGAAGGCCTAAATATTCTTTTTCCTCTCACCATTGCTCAGCTTGGAAAAGAGTGAGTTTGACATAAAACAATGTTAACTTCCCCTCTTTTTAGTTGAATAACTGAAAGTGTTTTCCTTGGATCCTTACGACAGATGGTGTCAAGATGGTTATACGTCTTCTTTAAAAAACTGTAAAAAAGAAACTCATTTAATTTTGCGTTTTTTTTTATATATGAAACATTGTGTATTATGCATAATCATGCTGTTACTTCTGGTATATATGGACAGGACATCTTTCTCGTATGAACGATAGCAGACTTCCATGACATCTCCTCTTTGGTCAGCTTCAGTTGGAAGGCCATTCTTGCGTTTTAAAGAATTAGCTCAAATACAATCTGAAGATATGCGGCATCACCTTTTCTACCTGGGAAAACAAAGCGTCAGAAAAAAAGATCTAGCTCTTCTGTTCTGCTTCTGATCGATATACCCGTTTCAGCGAGACTAACTTGAACAATGGAATCAAATGCGTGCAAATATTAAAGAAAGTTGTCAACAGAGTCCGCCCCCAAATGTATACACACTTCAGGAAAGGAAAAACTTGTAATGCTAAATTTATTCTGGCACGTTATACAAGTTACCTTTGGACTCAAAATGGCGGATTTTAGTTTCCAATCTTTTCTTAGTAAGGCGAACTACTGCGTGAGCAACGTTGGCCAAAGTGTCCAGTGGGATTGCTGCGCACTGTCGTGAAATCAGAAAGCCCGAATAAACTTAAAGATAAGCTTTATTCCACTTCATCAATATATGTGGAAGAAGTCAACTGCTTATATCAACAGTCGACTGTTCCATTCTCAAGAGGGGTGGAAGGGAGAGATCTCAATTATTTCTGAATACTACACGCATGCATTTTCAACTTCTTGTCTAAAGGCTATCAATACCGAGAAAATATCGTACTCCAGTAAAAAGTGTTATCGTAATTTGATAAAACTACGAAAAACAAGATTTTCCTTTCCTGTTGGGTACATAGATTTTTGATGGTCTGTTTTATATATATATATATATATATATATATATATATATATAGCTCCCTCCAGAAGTAGTGGAACGGCAAAGCCAATTAGTTTGCTTTGTTGTTCACTGAAGACATTTGGGTTTAAGATCAAAAGATAAATGCAATAATAATAAAAATATAATGATTACAATAATAAAAGTCAATGATAATAATATAATACAATAATAATATGCTAGTAATAATAATATAATAAATACAATAAAACGATGATAATAATAATAATATAATTATAATATTATTGCAATAATATAATAAATACAATAAAACGATGATAATAATAATATAACATTAATGCAATAATAATAATCTAATAAATAGAATAAAACAATAATAATAGCAATAATATAATAACATTCATACAATAAATTAATAATACAAAAAAAATAAAACAATAATGTACTAATGATGCAATAAAACAATTATAATGAAAAATATAAGAAATACAATCAAGCAATAATAATTATAATAATAATGTAATAAATACAAT